CGGGAGGGTTTGGAGAGGCCTGCAGGTAAGAGTTGTTGCCTTGGAGGCCTGCGGAGGCGTTTGGAGCATTTGAAGGCGGGCAAATGGCAGTCTAGAACCCCCTGAAAAACAGATGGCAAGGGCATGTAGCTGTAAGAGTTGTTGACTTGGAGGCCTGTTGCCTTGGAAGCCTGCGGAAGCGTTTGGAGCGTTTGAAGGCGGACAAACGGCAGTCTTGAACCCCCTGAAAAACAGATGGCAGAGCATGTATAGCTGTAAGAGTTGTTGCCTTGAGATGGCAAGGGCATCTAACTGTAAGAGTTGTTGCCTTGGAGGCCTGCGGGAGCGTTGGGAGCGTTTGAAGGCGGGCAAACGGCAGTCTAGAACCCCCTGAAAAACAGATGGCAAGGGCATGTAGCTGTAAGAGTTGTTGACTTGACTTGGAGGCCTGTTGCCTTGGAAGCCTGCGGAAGCATTTGGAACATTTGAAGGCGGGCAAACGGCAGTCTTGAACCCCCTGAAAAACAGATGGCAAGGGCATGTATAGCTGTAGCTGTATAGCTGTAAGAGTTGTTGCCTCGGAGGCCTGCGGAGGCGTTTGGAGCATTTGAAGGCGGGCAAACGGCAGTCTTGAACCCCCTGAAAAACAGATGGCAAGGGCAGACAATTGTTGCCTTGGAGGCCTGCGGGAGGGTTTGGAGAGGCCTTGGAGGCCTGCGGAGGCGTTTGGAGCATTTGAAGGCGGGCAAACGGCAGTCTTGAACCCCCTGAAAAACAGATGGCAAGGGCATGTAGCTGTAAGAGTTGTTGACTTGACTTGGAGGCCTGTTGCCTTGGAAGCCTGCGGAAGCATTTGGAACATTTGAAGGCGGGCAAACGGCAGTCTTGAACCCCCTGAAAAACAGATGGCAGGGGCATGTATAGCTGTATAAGAGTTGTTGTATAGCTGTAAGAGTTGTTGCCTTGAGATGGCAAGGGCATGTAGCTGTAAGAGTTGTTGCCTTGGAGGCCTGCGGGAGCGTTGGGAGCGTTTGGAGCGTTTGAAGGCGGGCAAACGGCAGTCTTGAACCCCCTGAAAAACAGATGGCAAGGGCATGTAGCTGTAAGAGTTGTTGACTTGGATGCCTGTTGCCTTGGAAGCCTGCGGAAGGGTTTGGAAGGTTTGAAGCCGGGCAAACAGCAGTCTTGAACCCAGACAGCCAAGTTCCACACCTCCGGTGGTCCCAGGCGCCGCCCCTGCCTTGGCAAAGGCCGGGGTCGGCGGATATATATATATATATACCAAATTGTACCGAGAAATAATCAAACCGTACCGAGAAGTCATCAAATTGTAAAACCGTACCGAGAAAACATCAAATTGTACGAGGAAACATCAAATTGTACTGAGAAATCATGAAATCTCACCGAAAATCATCAAATTGTTCCGAGAGATCATCAAACCGTACCGAGAAATCATCGAACCGTACCGAGAAATCATCATATATTGTACCGAGAAATCATCAAATTGTACCGAGAAATCATCAAACCGTACCGAGAAATCATCAAACCCTACCGAGAAATCATCAAATTGTACCGAGACATCAAATTGTACCGAGAAATCATCAAACCGTACCGAGAAATCAAATTGTACCGAGAAATCATCATATAGTACCGAGAAATCATCAAATTGTAGGGAGAAATCATCAAACCGTACCGATTAAATCATCAAACCCTACCGAGAAATCATCAAATTGTACCGAGAAATCAAATTGTTTCGAGAAATCATCAAACCGTACCGAGAATCATCAAAATGTACCGAGAAATCATCAAATTGTACCGACAAATCATCGAATTCTACCGAGAAATCATCAAATTGTACCCAGAAATCATCAAATTGTACCGAGAAATCGCCAAACCATACCGAGAAATCATCAAACCATACCGAGAAATCATCAAACCGTACCGAGAAATCATCAAACCGTATACCAAGATTAATCAACAAACCCTGAGCATCGGATATTGATTGTAATCAATACTATTCTGAAAATATTGATTTTAGAGTTTTTTCAATATTTTCTATTGATTTTAACACAGTTCAAAATCAACAGGATTTCTGCCTTTTGGGAATCCACAACACACCAGATAGGATCAACAACTTAATCAATACAAAATTCAACAACATAATCAATATAAAGAAGCTTGAACAACAATAAAATCAATCAAAACCCACAGCTTTTTAGTGCTAGTGTGGACACTCCAGGCTTTATATTACAGTTTTCTTTTTCATCTTCTTTCTTATTTGTCTGGTGAGACTGGGAAGTGAAGCATCCTTTGGTCAAGGATGGCAGACCTATCAGCTGCTTGTGGTGGGTGTCTCCAGGTACCCTTTTGCCAAGGGTGTGGCAGAAAGACTTTTGGCCAAGGACCATCTACCATTCTTCACCATCACTGTCTGGAGACACACCCAAGTCAAACCCAAGTCTTGTCAGCTGCATGTGCAAAAGAATGCGATACTTAATCATGAGCTTGCCTGAAAGTCTTGTTGATTTGACTCCCATAGCCAATGATCTGGCTAATGTTGCCACCCTCCCCACAAAGTCTTCAGATCTGAAGTTCCATGTGTACCTGGGATTCAAGAATTGTGCCTCCTTGACCAGGTGATGTTGGCAATGGTGCTTGTAGACAATGTGGTAAAGTTTATGGTCATTCTTCTGGGCCCACTTGTTCAGCTCTGTGTAATGCCTGCAAAACCTTTGGTCAAGGTCCTGCATGGCTTGAAATTCCTTTGGGCAAGGAAACAGCCCTGCTGCATCAAATGCAGCAACCAAGTCCACCATTGCCTCCAGAGCTCCCACCATGTGTTGGTGAAGGATATTGTTTGGTTCTAGTATGCTTTTCAGCACTGGTAAGAATGCACTGAGCAAATGTTTTGTCTCTGCTCCTTTTGCTTCTAGTTTGGCATACTCTTGGTGAGGCTTGGAGGGATCACAGATCATGCTCAATCTGAGGTTGGTGAGTCGAGTTGGTGTCTGAAGTTCCTTGTAATTTTCCTGGATCTTGGAGAAAATCAATGCCAGCCTTTGGCTGGGCTGCTTGTTTTGCTTGCCTCTGCCTTGGTTGTAACACACATGGTGAAGCAAAGAGCCAAGCAGGTGTGAACACACACCTTTCACAAAAAGCACATGCAGCCCATCCTGTCGAACCATTCTAATGGTGAGGCCTGGGGTTTCAAACAGCTGGTGCTGGCTTCCTTTTGTCAAGGCTGCTGCTGTGTCAGTGTAAATGAATTTTTGGTTCTCTGGCAGCAATTCTTTGAAACTCTTCCCCTTCTCACAAGGCTTGCCTTTTATGAAAGGTTGCTGGGCATCACAAGCATGGCAGCAGTTGTGGGAATTCCAATGGGGCAGGTGAAGAACATTGCTGTACATTTCTTGGTCCCCTTGAATGGACCAAAGCACAGCCCTGTAACCTCTGCAGTCTTGCTCCAGTTTTTGCAGTCTTGCTCCAGTTTTTCTTTCTCCTTTCTTTTTTCTTCTGCTTCCTTGGGCCACAAATAGTCATGCAACTCCTGTTTTGTCAACAGGTGTGGCTTTCCATATGTTTTGTCAACAGCTGCTTTTGCCCAATCTATGTTGACATCTTCAAGTCTCATGTTTTTATTTTCTCTTTCCATTCCTTTTTTCCTGATTTTTTCTTTCCTGGCCTCTGTGGTGGTGCCAGTGCCCTGTTTTTTCCCCTTGTTGTTGAGCATGGCCCCTTTTGTCAAGGGAGCTTCCACAAGCTTTCTTTTGTCAAGAAAGCTAAAGAGGGGAAGCCCTTTTGTCAAGGGCCTTTACTCCTAGTAGTCAAGCTTGAGTTTTCAAACAGCTGCAGTGGTAGAAAGGCCTGCCAGGTGTGAACCCCCCTTTAGTCAAGGCACCCAAAAGAACATGCACTGCATATTTTTCAGTGTGTTTCTCTAAAATTCCATGAAAAAACACCCTGAGAAAGTTTCCATACATTTGAAATCAAGTTGGTGGGGCCAAACCATGAGAAAACCATCATGACACTTTGGTTGGGTTATCCACTTTTGTATCTGTTTTCATGTGGTGTATATCTTCATTTGTTGTCAGAAAATGTGTACTTGATTGGTATATACATAATATATATATATATTTGTGTATATAATCAGTTTTCAAAATTTCAGTATATACTTAAAAAATAAATGTATATGCATATGAATGTATATATATAGAGTGTTTTTTGTAATATATATATATATATACATATTTTTGTTTTTTAACATTTATTTAAATATATAATTCAATTATTTATATTTAGTTCATTTATTTCATTTATTTGTTAATATATTTTCACCCCTTAATAATTTGTTCTTGTTGGCAACCTTTGGGCAAGGAGCCTGGGGTGAAACATACATAGCCCAACCATGTCAAACCTTTTGTCAAGGAATGACAGGTATCTGTGCAAGGGCCAGCCATGCATCAATTGGGCAGATATCTATAGCACCACCATTGCCTTTGCTGACTGAAACCCTTTTGTCAAGGGTAGGGGGCCCTTTTGGCAAGGAACCCCCAGGGCCAAAAGCCTTAGCTCAGCAACTCTTCTCTCAAAGCTCTGGCTTGCTCTTTGGTTAGATGCTCAGCTTGCAGCCTTCTGTGGATAACCCCAATCACCTCTCTGTATTGTGGGGTCATTTTCTTTGTCACTTCGGCTATGTGGTGAATAGGTTCAGGTGGCCCATGGCTTCCTTGGATGTAGGCCCTTTCGGGGTTCCTGGGATAGGTTACCTTCAAGGTTTTCCATGGCTGTTTTTTTGTGCTTACTGCAGCTGCAGGCCTTTTCATTTTGGAACCCTTCTTCTCTTTTTTGCATGTTTGTTTTTTACCCAAGGCCAAAGCTTTTGTCAAGCTTTGGTCTTGGTCCTTTGAGTTCCAGCTTGGTCTCTTTAGCACCAAAGAACCCTTTCTCCTTTTCAAAAAAGATCCCTCATCAGGTAATGCATTGGAACTGCTTGCTGCTGCTCCTTTTGTCAAGGGGCTGTCCTCCAATGGCAAGGCATTGGATTGCTGTGGGCTTTGCAAGCACTTGGGGAAGCCACTGGAATCCATGGAGATGGCAGAATCTTCTTTCTTAAGCTGCCTCCTTTTGGCAAGGGGGCCAGCTTCTTCTTCCTCTTGCTGCCCCCTTTTGTCAAGGGAAGCAGCTTCTCTTTCCTCATCACTGCTTTGCTCTGTGTCCTTGCCTGCCAAGTTTTGTGCAAGCTCTTTCAGCAGCTGGTATTCTTTTCCACTCACTTTTGCTGCTACTTTTGCAAGCTCTTCCTCAGATTTCAACCTTCTAAGATGAAGGAGGACAGTTGTAACCCTTTCTGCTCTCATGTTGCAGTATACCAGTCCATTGAAGTCTGTTGTGTTTATCTTCGGTTTGTGCTGGACCAGCTTCAGCAATGCTTGCCTCAGAGGACCTGGGTGGATCTCACCTGTGGGGGAAAGATCCAACAAAGCTTCCAACAGAGGCAGGCAATGCACTAGGCCCTTGGCATCTGTGGCTTGCTGCCTGCTGACAGTCTCATACCTTCCCAGTGAAGACACCAAAGAGACATGTTTGTTCAATGTTTGGAAAAGGACAAAGGGGACCACCATTGGCTTGGAGAAGTGCCTTGCCCCACCCCTGCTGGCCATTGCTTCAAAACTAGAATCCTTTGGTCAAGGGTTCCTCCAAAACTAAGCTAGCTTTTGTCAAGCCAGCTACAAAATCTTGATGGATCCTACTTGAGACAGATGGTTGCATATGGCTCTCATGCAGTTTGGCCAGAAGCTTGGCCCATGGCACACACTCAAGATGAAAATCAACAGCAAAATCAATAGGAAAATCAACAACTTAATCAATACTGCAGAGGCATCAAAACATGTACATCTGAAGCCAAATCAATATTTTTGGATGAAAACAAATCAATAAAACAACTTGGTAGTTCTATTGATTTTTTCAATAACAATTGGACAATCAATATCAATAGAAAACTATCTGTTCCTATTGATTACAATCAATATCCGATGCTCAGGGAATTGTACCGAGAAATCATCAAACCTGTAACCTCTGCCTGTGAGGGGCTGCCCAGCAAGCTGTTCAAAAATGGACCCTTTTGGCAAGGGTTCATTGTCAGGGCCAAAACATGGGTGTAAGCCTTCTTGCAGTGCTTCCAAAGACCATCGCACCCATTGCATGATGGGGGTCCAGGTGTCAGAGACTGTTGCAGATTTTGGCCAAGCACAGATCAGGAAATAGGAAGTCAAACTGCTATGTGCATTGAGAAACCCACCCCAATTCCAAATCATCAGGGAGTCTCTACTCTGGAACCCGACTCCATCAGCATGAATGAATATTGGAATGGTAGTCTCAGGGTCTTGCACCTGCCTTTTGGCAAGGCCCTTCCTTTTGTCAAGGCAGATGGGGTGGCCCTGCAGTCGATCATCCTGGCAAGCTTCAACTCCTCTCCAAAATTCATTCAGATGTTCAACACCAAACAAAGTTTCAAACTGATCTGTATAGTGGTGGAAAAGGTCTGCAAATAAAATGTGTGGCAGCAGAATGCCAGCTTTTTCCATAGACACCTGTGAAGTCTTTGGGTCTTGGCATTTTGTTTCAACTGGTGTGCTGCCAGAAATCTTGCAGTCCTTGGTGAAGCTGGCACACAAATCTCTGTGGCAATTCCCAGGTAATGACCCATGACTTCCTGTTTTGGCAATGGTTGCCAAGTCATGGCCACTGGACCCAGTGAGAATTGCTTTGTGGGCAACATCTTGAACTAGTTTTGCACTAAGCTGCCCATGGCTCCACAAGGACAAAAGTGTTTGTGCCAGCACACTCTGCTCACCATCCCCTTTGGCCAAGGGCTCTGTCTCTAGCTTGGCCAGCTCCAAACCATGGCCCCTCAGTCTTTTGACTGGCTTCATGCTGCCCTTTTGTCAAGGGCACTGAGCACAAGCCTTTGGGCAAGGCATGGCTCTTTCCCCTTTGAGGAAACACTTGAACCAAAACTTTGCACAACACTTGGCTTGCCAACCCTGCAGACCCTGCCAACCCTGGAGGCTTACCAACCCTTGGTGCTTCTTAAGCTGTATGCTTTTTACAGCCCAATTATTAGATACCCAGAAAAAACTTGTGTGGTTTAGACCCTTGGTGCTTCTTAAGCTGCATGCTTTACAACCCAAGTGGCTGACATACTTATACATACCCAGAAAAAACTTGTGTGGTTTAGTGGTGTGGTGTGCAGCCCCCCAACCCCCTGAACCACTTAAGTGTCTGTGCTGCAGCATTTTTTTGACTTGATGCCTGCTGTCGGTTTGCCAGCCAAGAGACCCTACATCACCCTTTGGTCAAGGGGAGAAGGTCTCATGTGGCTGCCTGTACCTGCCAATTGCCTGGGCAATGGCAACATCAAAAACTGAAAGCCAATCACCTTTTGTCAAGGATATGGCGGCATCAAAAACTTGAAGCCAGTCACCTTTGGGCAAGGTAGCACTGGAATTTAAACAAGATACTACCCTTTGCCACTAGCTATAGGTGTACTCTTTTGTCAAGAGCACACAGGGTCCTTTGGTCAAGGGCCCCTTTCAAAGCATTGTTGCTTCACTTTTTGCTGCTTTTGGAAAAGCTCTTGTTTGCCAATGCCTTGTATTCTTTCACTTCTGTTTTGACTTGGTTGGTGCATACCACTGCATCTTTGATGGTTTGCTTTGCTGCTTCCACATTGCCACCCTTTTTTATTTGTAATTGCTTTGAGCTTTTGTTCCCATTCTTGGGCATGTTTCAAAGTCAGTTGTGCTTCCTTCCTGTCTTGCTTGGAAGTTCTGCCTGCTTGGTTAGCAGCTTCCAAAGCTTCTTCCAAGTTTCCCACTGCCACCCTGAGATGCTCTTTGGATTTTTGTGCTTTTGTCAAGCACTCAGCCCATTGCTCTTCAGGTGTCTTCTTGTCTTTGTCATCTTCTGTGTCATTTGGGTCACCATCCTCTATGGCCAGCACTCCTCTGCCTCTTCCTTTGCTTCCTTTGCTCCCTTTGCCTTTTGTCAAGGCACCTTGGCCCTTACCTTTTGTCAAGGCAGGGCCCTGGCCTTTGAAGGTAACCTCAGCCTCCTGCATGCTGGCCAAAGAGCCTTTGCCCCAATAGCTCATGAACTCCTTTTCATCCTCTGCATCATCCATTTCCCTTTCCTGCCCCACTGTGACTTTGTGCTTTTTCTTCAGCTGGACCTGTTTGGTCAGGTCCCCCTGGTCACAGTATTGGTAGATGCCAGGGGTCCATGGGTCTGAGCGCCATTTGACCCTTCCTGATGCCAAGTGCTGTTCAAATTCATCTTTGCTGAAATCCTGCAGCATCTTGTGTTCACTGACCCATTTCTCACCTTTTGTCAAGGTTTCACTGGCTTCTTTGGAGGTTTCTGTATGGAAGAACACACCTTTCTTGTGCTTGAGAAACCAAAGAACAACTTCAAGTCCTTTTTCCTTCTTCCCCAACTGCTCATGAGCCTCTTTCTCTTCTTCCTTTCCCTTCAAATAGGTTTTGTGCTTGGACCACAGCTTAGCAGATTCATCTTTTGTCAAAGAATCTTTTAAGACTATGGCTGCTTCCTCTGCTGTGTTTGCTTTTTCTGTTGCTTTTTTCACTTTCTCATCCAAAGTCAGCTTGCCCAGCTGGGCAAGCTTACCTTTTGTCAAGGTAGCTCTCTGATGTTTCCCTGTGGCTTTGCTTTTGCTTTTGGCTTTGGCCTTACTTTTTCCCTTTGGGCAAGGGCTTGCTTTGTTTTTCAAAATTCCAGGTTTCACTTTCTTTTTTGGTGCCATGTGCAAGAAGCTGGAGCTTGCAGATCCTACTCCTTTGGTCAAGGAGAGTACATTTGCCTTTTGAACCAAAAGACTGAACACACAGAAACAGAATCAAACTTGGATGCCTTCCTATTTGCCTGTTGAGAAACTTTGACAAAAGAGTTTCACATAAGCTTTTTAAACACATATATTTTCCTAGGCCAACAGCTTTGGGAAAACTAAATTTAGATTTTTCTTGTTCTTGGATGAACAGCCTTGACAAAAGGTTGTTACATTCAATTCTATGCTACCAACCATGTGGAAACAAAATTGGGAAAAACAATATATATTGTTTTTAACTTTTTCTGAAAATATACAAAAAAAAATTGACCAAATTTGACTTTTGGTCAAATTTGGTCAAATTTGGTCAAATTTTTATTTTTCTATTTTTTATGATTATGTTGTTTATTTTTTTATTTTTTTTGTATTGAAACAATTTCAAAGGTGAAGATCTGGCCACAACCTTTTGTCAAGGCTGCAATCCAGACAGCACCCAATGCTTATACCTTGGATTCACTCTGAGTTTGAAAGTGGAAAACCTGTGCCCCAAATGGTTTCTTACCAATTGTGTTTCATACTGGAATGAATTTTGGGGAGGAATGGTTTGAAATACAAAATTCAAAAACACCTATGGCTGCTGAACCCCTTGAACAAAACAAAATTCAAAATATTTCACATAAAGATTTGAAAGGCAACTGGAAAATATTCCCTTGGTTGTAAAATTGCACCAGGAATACCAAAAAAATATATGGACACTTCCAATGAACATTTTTTTTGTCAAAGTATATTGTTTCAAAATAGTATCTACCTTTCTATTTTTCTATATATATATAAATATATATATATTTAACTATATGTGCAAAACATGCCCAGATAAACAAATAATATATATATATATGCCTCAAAGCCTTGTTCAAAATAACATTTACAAATATCACCAGAACAAAAGTTGAACAACATTGAAACCATTTACTGTATTTCAAAATACTCTGAATGAAAGAATTGAAAGATAACCACTACCCATAGGTTCCATATATTGTAAAGTAAGTGCAGTTTGCCCAAAATAGTTCTTAATAAAATTGTTTTGTTTTTCAAAAATATTCTTATTGAATTTTATTATAATCTTTATTTATTTGTTATTTTTATTTTTCATTTTCATCCATATTGTGTGCTCATCACCTTGCTTCATTCCTTTTGCCAAGGAAACAGCAGTGATGTGAAACTGGCTGGTCCCTTCTTGTCAGGGATGCAAGCCCTTTGGTCAAGGGACTTGCCACCAGCCATAAAAATTCTGCAAAACTACTGGCAATTCCCTTTTGTCAAGGGGAGGTGCCTACAAACCCTTTTGTCAAGGGAATGTGTGGCCCCCTACTTGCCATCCAAAAAGTGCCACACAGCCACATCAAAACTGGGGTAGGTGTTCATACCCCAGCCATGGGCATTCCACCAGGGCACAATTGCCCAGCACTCAATACCCCACTGGCCACACTCTTGGATCACATCCCACCTGTCATCAAACAGGATCTTGATGCCTGCCCTGTGCAGAGCTTGGGCCTTCCCCTCCCTGCCACATGGTTTGTGCCACACCAGTTGCTGTACACCCCATCACTCAGGAAATCTGTTTCCTTTTGCCTGTCTGGCCCAGAGTATGAACATAGGAAAATGTCATACCCTGCATCCTCCAGCTTCTGCAAGGCCCTCCTTTAGTCAAGGCACCCAAAAGAACATGCAC